GAACAACTATGCTGAGATTTTTGTGGATAGTGTAAAACCAATGGTCAATAAAACTGCTAGCCTACCTTAAAAGAAATCAAGGGAGGAGCACCAACCCATACTATTGGTCATTGTAGTCTTTTTGGTTTTTTTTGTTTGTTTTCGAGACGGAGTTTCACTCTTGTTACCCTGGCTGGAATGCAATGGTGGGATCTTGGCTCTTTGCAACCTCTACCTCATGGGTTCAAGCAATTCTCCTGCCTCAGCCTCTCTAGTAGCTGGGACTACAGGCATGTGCCACCATGCCCAGCTAATTTTTGTATTTTTAGTAGAGACAGGATTTCACCATGTTGACCAGGATGGTCTCGATCTCTTGACCTCATGATCCACCCGCCTTGGCTTCCCAAAGTGCTGGGATTAGGCGTGAGCCACCGTGCCCGGCCTGTCATTGCATTCTCTATGATCCCCCGCTCATCCCAACACCCAGTCAGTTTCACTTAAAGGATGTGCTTGATAAGACAGGAAATTTCATTAATGTTATTAAATCTCAACCCTAGAATATATAATATGCAACCCTTTAATAGTCTACATAATGAAATGAGAAGTATACATAAAATATTTCTGCTACATACTGAAGTGTGATGGTTGTTTCAAAGAAAAGCACTTGTACAATTGTTATAACTAGCCATGTTTTTCATGGAACTCCATTTTTACTTGAAAATATGACTGAGGCCAGGCACGGTGGCTCAAGCCTGTAATCCCAGCACTTGGGAGGCCGAGGAGGGTGGATCACGAGGTCAAGAGATCGAGACCATCCTGGTCAACATGGTGAAACCCCGTCTTTACTAAAAAAATACAAAAAATTAGCTGGGCATGGTGGTGTGTACCTGTAATCCCAGCTATTCAGGAGGCTGAGGCAGGAGAATTGCCTGAACTCAGGAGGTGGAGGTTGTGGTGAGCCGAGATCGCGCCATTGCACTCCAGCCTGGGTAACAAGAGTGAAACTCCATCTCAAAACAAAGAAAAACAAAAAAATTTAAGACTTCAGTAATTGTTAAGCATATAAAGGAGTTTTAACACTAAAGTTTGAGAATCACAGGTTTAGACCATAGGAAGGAGATCTGGTGGTGGGGTAGGACATTTAGAAGCATGAGAAGGGTTTTAGATAACCATTGATAATTTATTTTTTCACGTAACTGCACAGCATTGAAAGACATAAAGCTCTGTTAGAGAGTTCCCACTGGTTGAGTTTCAGTTAAATGTGTGTTTAATCAGTTTACAAGAAAGTAGGATTATGATTGACCTCAATTTGAATTATGACTGGGTGACCACAGGAATATCACCAAACTCCTTGCCTCAATTTTTGCATCTGTAACATGCATCTACATTAGAAGGGTTACTGTGAGGATAAAACTCATGTAAATTTTGTTCCAGTGTGTTTTGTGGACTAACCAGGTTAATAATGCAGACACCCAGAGCTTTGAATCATGATCTGCATTTCAGTGAGACCTCCAAGCGGTCCTTATGCACAGAGAAGCGCTGGTTGTAAGGCACCCTGAAGACTGCCTGCCTGTCACATAGTAGGTGCTCAATAAAAATCACCTTTCTTTTCAAATTTATTTTCTATTCTTTGGCTTATGCATATAAGTATTTCAGTCTTTTTGGACTAAAATTTAAACATCTGATCTGTTAACTTCATCTCTTTTTCTTATCAGTCAAAGTAATCCTTCCATTCATTTGAAAAGTTTAAAACTTCCAGACCTGCAGTCTAGATTCTAGAGTGTCTCTTTTCCTTTTTCATTAAAAAAAATTTTTTAAGCAACCACACTAACAATGAGCCCCATATTGGTGTGTATGGAGACCGACTGCCTGTGTAACTAGATCTGTCCCTCCTTTTATAATAATTCATGTATTCACACAACACATATCAAATAATCAATATGTGTACGGGACTGTGAATGACATTAGGGGAACAGTGTGTGAAATGAACATACTTCTCACCCTTGTGATGAAAGAGACACTAAAGGAATAAACCAAAACACAGTGTTTGTAATTCTCAAGAAGACTTTGTGAATACATAAGTAATATATGCTTTTTAAAAAAATCTCAAATATTGGCCGGGTGCAGTGGCTGACACCTGTAATCTCAGAACTTTGGGAGGCCGAGGGAGGTAGATCACCTGAGATCAGGAGTTTGAGACCTGCCTGGCCAATATGGTGAAACCCCGTCTCTACCAAAAATACCAAAATTAACCAGGTGCAGTGGCATGGGCCTGTAGTCCCAGCTACTTGGGAGGCCAAGGCAGAAGAATCACTTGAACCTGAGAGGCAGTGGTTGCAGTGAGCTGAGATCGTGCCTGGGGGACAAAGTGAGACTCCACCTAAAAAAAAAAAAAAAAACTCGAGTATTTTTTTTCCTTTTCTACATTTCGTGGATTTTAAAAAGCACTTTATGTTTATCTTTAATGTTTTGACTTCTACATTATCTTTTATTATTCCTTATCTCACATTTTTCACTTGCCTGCCGTAACATTGATGGTTGCTAGATTTTTAATTCTTCTTGCATATGAGTTATTTTTTCCAATTAAATTTTTTAAAATTTAGCATTGTGGTAAAAAAATGCACATAATGTAAAACGTACTACCTTAATCGATTTTAAGTGTACAATTGAGTAGTGCTAACTATATTCACATTGCTGGGCAACAGATCTCTAGAACTTTTTCATCTTGTAAGACTATATTGAAGTCTTAAAGGTAGGTAGTCAAACTCAGAGAAACATGGGGAAATAGAAAGTTGTTTGTTGTGCGGCCGGGCGCGGTGGCTCAAGCCTGTAATCCCAGCTCTTTGGGAGGCCGAGGCGGGTGGATCACGAGGTCAACAGATAGAGACCATCCTGGTCAACATGGTGAAACCCCGTCTCTACTAAAGATACAAAAAATTAGCTGGGCATCGTGGCGCGTGCCTGTAATCCCAGCTTCTCAGGAGGCTGAGGCAGGAGAATTGCCTGAACCCAGGAGGCAGAGGTTGCGGTGAGCCGAGATCGCGCCATTGCACTCCAGCCTGGGTAACAAGAGCGAAACTCCGTTTCTCAAAAAAAAAGAAAGAAAGTTGTTTGTTGTTCAATGTAACTCTATATTCACTGAATAACAAACAACTTTCTATTTCCTCCTGTTTCTCTGAGTTTGACTATCTACTTTAGATACCTCAGACAAGTGGAATCACACAATATTTTTTTTTTTTAGACAAAGTCTCGCTCTGTCACCCAGGCTGGAGTGCAATGGTGGGAGCTCGGCTCACTGCAACCTCCACCTCCTGGGTTCAAGCAGTTCTTCTGCCTCAGCCTCCTGAGGAGCTGGGATTACAGGTGCATGCCATCGCGCTTGGCTAATTTTTGTAATTTTAGTAGAGACGGGGTTTCACCTTGTTGGTCAGGCTGGTCCCGAACTCCTGATCTTGTGATTTGCCTGCCTTGGCCTCCGAAAGTGTTGGGATTACAGGTGTGAGCCATCGTGCCTGGCCATATTTGTCTTTTTTGTAACTGGTTTATTTCACTTCATGTAATGCCTTCAGGGTTCACTCACATTGTAGCATGTGACAGGATGTCTTTTTTAAAGCTGAATATGCCATTGCATGTATATATCACATTTTATTTATCCATTCATCCATCCATTCGTGGACCTTTGGGTTGCTTCCACCTCCTGGCTGTTGTGAATAATACTGTAATGAATGTCTTGAGAGTGCTTGGACTCCAGATGTAGACACTAATCTCCACCCAGGCCTGAACATGATTCTTGACTACAAGAAAGAATTTCTGAGCTAGCAGAAAGGGAAAGGTAGACCAGGTCAGGCTTGTGGTCAGACTCCCATGTTGGATATCCAGGCAATGGCAGAGAAATAGAAAATTGCCTGAATCCTTCAGAGTCTCTGTCTGAAAGGAAAGCACTAACTTGGGTTGAATGCTGACCATGCTGAATACTTTTGTGTCTGTTGATGGGGAAATGTGGGAGGTTTTCTGAATTCTTATTATGAAAATAAGGACTATTATTTTCTTCAACTTCTCAACATCATGTATAACAATAATGAAAAATGATCATCAACATCAGGAACAAGCCCAGGAGGGGATCTAGCATGGGGCCTTTTTGTATTATTTGAAAATAGGGTCAATATAAAATTGAATGTATTCAAATTTCAAATATAATGCAAACTACCATGAGTTTGGGTTAGGATTGCAAAGAAACATGGCTGATTGGGAAGACCAAACTCTCATAGGGCACAAAAGCCCCCACCAGGATCTAACCTGATGTTCTGTACTCCCTAGCTTGCTGATTAAAGAATAATTCCTGCTGAAAGCTAGTTTTTAAAGAACTTCGTTTCATACACAGACCCCAGAGTCCATATCTGGGCTCCCACATCAGGCCTATAGATGACATTCCTGATGAAATCAGGTCATACACAGAAGGAATGACTCAAGACCAATTTTGCAGCTTCCCTGAGGACCATGAAAAATGCCTTCAAGGAGGAAAAGAAAAGCCATCACCTACATGAGCCACTCAGATGGACTTGCATCAAGGATTTCTCTTAGCCCATCATTTCAGTCCTTAGAGAATGGGAGGCAGCTACTGCAGATTCAATTTTTTTTTGGTATCACTCTGGAGCTACTTTACTTGTAACAGCAAATATGATTACTTTAAGGCATATGAAAGCAGAAGAGGCACTAGCCTGAGAGTCAGATGGCTTCTAGTTGCAGTGTGGCTACTTACTAGCTGGGTAGCTTTGGACAAGAGCCTGCTCCTCTTGAACCTTAGCTTACCTCCTATAAAACCCAGCCCTTGGGCTAGAACAGTTCCATTCCATTCAGCTCTGCCATTCTCTGCATAAATGACATCAGGATTGATTGCACCCATTCTACTTTTTATTTGGCATTTGTTCATTTGATACATATATACATATATAAAAATCTGTACATGGTAAAAATACAAAATAAGTATTTCTTTATAAGTTATGCAATCAAACAGCTACCTTTTCAAAGTTTAAAAGCCATTGCAAGAAAAAAGCAAGAAAGAAATCTAGTCAGTGCTTTATAGTCATTCACAATAACCTTGGTATAAAATATCCATACAACATGTGTGTACAAAATAGTGTACAGTTCATAAAAGCTGTGCAAAGACAGCAAAGTTCAGTTAAAAAAAAAAAATCGAAGAGGCTGTGTAGGTCTCTCTGTCCACATCATGCCTGGTGCCCAGGAGGTTTGCAGCTCAGCAACACCTCCCTAGTAATAATAAAAGGGAACAAGGTAGAGTGCATGGTGCATATAGCATGGATACAGAAATTAAAAAGAAGAACTTTTAAAACACACATACAGGAATAGAGACAGCTTCTTCTCCCCCTTTAGAGAATCCACTTCTTTCCCCAGAGAGCTTTTGGCAGGTGACAGAGAGGACTCAATATGCATGTTGTGCCTTGGGCCAGAAGGCATTGATAATATGTATATGTATTCTTTTTAGAAATGTTTGAGCTTTCTAAGAGAATGTCTATGGGAAGCCAGGAGATGGGTGGAGAGGGTGGGGGTGGAGATGACAGACTGGAGAGGAATAGGAGGTCCTTGCTTCCTGTTAGGGGAGGTGGAAGGATCTGGAGAGTCAAGCGTGTTGGAGTTAGTTACATGATTTGGTGTTTTCACTCCTAACTCGGTTTCCTCCTCCATAAATAGATTTCCTACCATATAGAGTGGTTGCTGCTAACGACCAGCAGGGCCTGGCTCTCACAGGTCCAGGCTGCGGCACTGGAGCACACCCCATTGTGTTTAAAATAATTTACAATAAACAAAATAGAATGGAGCTTTTGCTGAAAAGTTAAGGCTGGGACCAAGACTTAAAGTTAACTTATGTGGGGAGGACCATTTGGAGGTGGTGTGGGAGAAGGAAAATCCTCTTTGGGGCCACGACAGGGCCTGTGGCGCCCTCAGCGAAGTGATGGTGCTACGGTGGGGAGAGGCAGCATCTGGGCACTGGAACAAAGTGAACGCGCAGACTGGACCCCACTTCTTCAATTTCAAAGCACTTAGAAACAGTACTCGGGCGTGCGAGCGGCTTCTAGGACACGGTGATTTCCTCCTCCTCCTCGCCCTCTTCCTCCTCCTCGGAGTCTGAGAAGTCCGAAGGTTTCCCCGGGCTGCTCGAGTGCGCGGGCGAGAGCGGCAGCGGCCCTGGTAGCCGCGGGTCCCGCAGGTGCGGGGGGTCGGGCGACGCGTGATAGGCCAGGCGGTGGCGGGGGCTGCCCGGGCCCTCCTCCTCCTCCTCCTCTTCGTCCCCAGGGCCCTTCTGGCCCACGTCACTGAGGTCCGGGTGCGGATTGAGCTTGGTGGGCAGGGTCTGCTCGCGGCAGCCCCCGCTAGACAGGAGTTCGCGCTCCTTGGAGTTCCGCCATTTCATGCGTCGGTTCTGGAACCAGATTTTCACCTGGGATGTCCCCGCCGGCGACAGGAAGGGAGAAGCAAAGGTCAGATCAGGGGTCCCCAGGGATGCAAGGGGGTGGGAAGTGGAGTGGAGTGGGGAGCAGGTTCTGTACTCCGGACTGTGCCCGCTCCCTACCCGTAGAAAGGAGTCCAGGTGGATTCCAGCATTGACTCCGCCCCCGCCTCAGCTCGAGGTTTCTTTTGATTCATCCATTGCCGCCCAGCCGCAAAGGGCGGGGCTGGGGGCCGCTGAGCCAGGGAGGGAGGGCTGGGAGTTGGGGTGGGGAGAGAAGAGGGCTGCCCCGCGGAGCCTCGAGGGTGGTGGCCCATGTACTCACTCCCTCTTTAGGCCTCGATTTTCCCATCTGTACAGTGGGACCTAAGTGGTTTCCGAACCCTTGCAATTGACGGGTGCGCCTGGGAGGGAGCGAAGCGAGAGGGCGGGGGATGGGTACTGTGAACGAACTGCCCTCACCTGCGAGTCTTTCAGGCCCAACTTGGCCGCCAACTTCTTGCGGTCGGGCTTGCTGATGTACTTCTGCTTCTGGAACATCTTCTCCAGCGCCTTGCGCTGCACGTCCGAGAAGACTGCTCGACGCAGCATGCCCCGCCGAGGCTTCCCGCGCGCGGCCAGAGGCCAGGAGAAGGTCCCGGGGATGGGCACGACGCTGGAGGACGCTGCAGGGTGGAGGGAGGTGGCGAGTGAGTGGGCGTAACCCCCCCACCCCTCGCAACGTGGCTCTCCCTGGCTTTTCACTCTGATCCTTCATCTCTTTAAAGCGCTCCTTTTTCTACCCTAGGAGAATAGGCCACGAACCTACAAACCTGCGAGAGTGAAAGGCGCTTTCCGCCCAAATAACTTTCCCTTTCAACCATGCAAACCCGGATTAGGTAGAACCACTGAAACATAGAAAACAGCCCCTACAATAGCCTGTTTCGTTTTTCCATTCAGTGGACCCAGGGAAAGAAACTTGCGCACATTAACTAAAACAGCAATAGAAAAAATAAATTACAAAAATAAAAATAAAATAGCCGAAGCCACTGGGTTTATCCCCTAAGCTTTTATCATTTCGGTGGCTTTTGCATTCTTTAGATGAAAATGACGTGCTTTACTATTTTGATAAAGAGGGAAAAATCCGATTTAGATTTTTTGAAAAATCCAATAAGTATTCATCTTTTTTATATTAATCCTTCTTCCCCTCCCCCCCACGAAACGTAAAGAATTCGGCCGGAATACATGAAAAGTGGCAGCTAATTAGCACATTGACTGCTTCCCAATGCATATTGGCATGATAAAAGGGGGGAGAGTTTTGCTTTAAGCGAAAGAAAAAAAAAACAAAACAAAAAGAAACAGAGACTCTAATGAAGCGTGAATGGTAATTGTGTAGTAATGAACTAACAGAAAAAGACTGAGGACAAGCAGCGAAAGCCATATATTACTGGGACAAAAGAGATTTACACTTTCAAACTAAACACAACTGCAGGCCAAGACCATTGGGAGAATACTGATGGCAGAGGCTTCTCTTCCCCGAATCGTTTTCATTAAATGGACATGAAAAGCTATTTATAAAGCTCGGGTTGTTTTTGTTAGAGCATTGAGATGACGGAGAAAGGGAGCAAATTCCATTATTAGCAGCAGTGTGAATGGTGGTGGTGCTGGGGAGGAGGGTAGGTGGTGAATTCTCTCTCCCCCTTTAATAAATCAATGGCTTGTGTCTTTCGCTAATATTTGGGAGTGCTGTCATGATTTTACCCAACCCCCACAAGCCATACCCAGTTTCCCTTCTCTTTATAGGGACTCCCCTGCCTCCTTTTGAGTTTTGACCAGTTGCAGAGTTTTTGAGCCATAGTTTGAATCACCAGTGAGGTTACGGGATTAAACCCTGGTGGAAGCTGTTTAAGGTGTTGCTCCTTTAGGCTGGGACACAATTATGGGCTTTCTTCCAACTGCTTCTTATTTTTCAAGATCAATGGTATTTTAAAAGACAGGGTGGGAAAGGGATATGAGAAGGGGTTGGGAAATCAGGTTGGAAATAGGAGGTTGGGATTGGGGGAGAATCTAGTCCCCCCTCCCTCTGGGTGACCCTAGGCATCCCACACAAGAGGGCACCCCATGTGGTCTTGTGAAAAGCCCGAAGCCCTGAATGAGTCTTAAAGAGAAATTAGCCCCGGCTGGTAGGTGTCTCTTGGCGGCGTGGAGGGACTAGGGCCGGTCTGTGTGTGGCTGCCCGGAGGAGCTGACCAATTGGTCATGGTGCTGAAACCTTTGTGGGGAATCGTGGCCAAGTGCACTGACTCTGTGGGAAAACCGCGGCGTGAAGGGATGCCAACAGCTCCTCGCCGGGAAGGGAACCGCCTCAAATTGGGACCATGACAATTCCTGCTAATTTGTAGAGCAGGGAATTGGTGCAAAGTGTCAAGCAGTCACTGCTTGTGCTAAATAGGGCATCAAATTGGCGCGACGGATTCGTGAATGTTGTACGCCTCGCAACCTCTGAACCAGAGCATAACCCTGAGGGGTGGACGGAGAAATACGACTTTGGGGCAGGGAGCGACGGGCCGGTCGGGGCTGGGACGCCTCCCAACCTCGCCCAAGGAAGCCGTAGAGACCTACCTGGGAAATAAGAAGATCTGATGAAAGGCTGAAAGGACCCTTCGAAGTAGGGAAAGGCGAAGGTCTTGGGAGGGACGCTCTGGAGCAAGGCTGGGGATGTTTCTGGCGGGCAGTGGAGAGGAGGCAGAAAGAAGGGAGGGAGACAGAAAGAATCTGATTACGTACTTGCCTATTGTATAGCACGTTGAACACACGATATGAGTAACCCTTCATCTGGTTTCAAAGACATCTTTCTTACATATTGACAGGGTAAAATAAATCTTCCTAACATTGTCTTGTCTGTAAAACTCTTTCCTTTTCCCCCAACGAGATTCTTTGCGGCGTCACACGCTACCCCAATCTCCATCCTAGGCACTAACGAGATAGGTAGGACTGAGTGGGGAGGAAAGAAATTGCAGATGTATAATATTAGCTAATACAATAAATATATCGTATTGAGTTTAAAAAAGAAACTGTCTCCTAGATGCTGCATGGCAGAAACACAGACGTCCAGGGGCGTGCGCTCAGCGTTACCACGCCAGACGACTCCGCACTGTCTCTGACTGCATGTGCTGAAGTTCATTCCGAGGATGGGGCTAGCCTGGGGGCTTTTCTTCCCCGGAAATGACTGGACTAGTCTCACATCGCCAGACGTAGGTCCTCAGAATTTGTGCCTACGTGTGTGCACGGATATGCGTGAGGGTGCCTGCTCGCTAGAGGAAACTGAGGCCAGGAGGACTTGGCACATGCCTGGCACCTGAACGGGCACTCACTTACCTGTTCTGGGCCCCGAGGAGAGGATGGCGTTCACTCCAAACTTCAGAAATGTGGGCTCGCTGGCAGGGGAGACGGCAGTTGGCGGAGAGCTGCCCCGCCGGCTGCCAGGACCAGGGGAGCCCAGGTCCGAGGCCCCCGTGTCGGTGAGGGCCGTGGGGGCCCCCTGCCTGGGCGGCGACATGCTGGCGGTGGGCACGCTGCGGGGCAGGTAGGCGGGGGGCCGGCTGATGCGGATCAGATCCTCCACCAGGAAGCTGGAGTGGCCGGAAAATGCCGACTGCAGGGACTGGGGCAGCGTCAAGGTGGGGGTGGGCCGCAGGAGGCTAGGGTACCCGGCGGGGGGCGCGAGGAGCCCGGGGAACATCATGATAGGCGTGGGGCGGGCGAAATAACCCTTCTTTCAGTGGCCGGAGGGTAAACGCCTCGCTTCCTGCCCCTCCCGCCCCCGCAGTGTCCTCTCTCTTGGGCTTAGCAAAGGTCTCCAAGTAACGATCCCACTTGGGTGTCTGCAAGTCCTCCGTGATCCTCCCGTCGAGGTGATGGTTTTATAGTGGCCCGCCTGCTAAAGCACTTTGAAAAGTGACAGCTCTGACAATGAAGTTCAACAAAGTTCTCCACTTGAGCTTCATTCGCTGGAGGCTCTGGGCGCTCTGATTGGCGCAGGGGTGCAATTTATGATTGGATTAGTCTTCATAAGCATGGCCCGCACAATGGGCGGACAACAAAGGCCTGCGCGCATCAATTCTGCATATCGACCGCCTCTTTGCAATACAGTGAGCCCCCAAAGCTCTCGCCGAAGGTTTTTGTTCCGAAGCAACACCCGGCCTAATTAAATGCCTATTTAGAAGTTTCAGATGACATCTTGCCTCATAGAAAAGGAATTATTTAAAGAACGCACTAAATTTATTTGCAGCTCCCCTGCTAAGCCTGGAAAATAAATCAATAAATATTCATAGAAATACATCTTCAGGCTATTAGCAAAGTTACTTTCCTTCTTGTGGGGGTGGGGCAATGAAAAGTTTCAAGTCAGTGAACATGAAAATATACTCCCTCTCTAGTCTCCAGCCCTATCCGTTACTCCAACTGAAGAGTTAAGCAAATGTAGGGGTGAGTGAAACCAGTCTTAGAAGTCCCATTCTGACGACTCAGGGAGACTTGGAAATGAATGCTTTGGGGCCACTGGATGGGTGTCCGAAAGAGTGGGAAGAGGTCTGGAGTTACTTCATTTCTAGACTGGTTGAGTTTGAGAGTTGGTGGATTCCTGAACAGTAAAACGAGTCTCCTTCAAACTCCCAGCAACTTGGAAAACTGTTTTCTCTAGGGGTTTCTGCAAGGGGCTCTCTGCACCTCACCTTGCGGGAGGTGAGGAGGAGAGCAGCGCTGGGCTGCAGAACGGCAGGATTCCGCTTACAAAGGGTTTAGGCTGGCCGGAAGCTGCCTCGGGTAAGGGTGTCCAACGGCTATGAGTGCTATTCTGGCCCTTCTCCAACCGCAGGGAGCTCTCGGCAGTTTAAGTTGAAATTCACAGCCCTGACATTTTAAGCCAGAGCAGCGCAGGTCCAGATGTTGTCCAGAGAGAGAGACCTACGACTGTGGGGTGCTTAACTTGGCAGCTTCTTAATTAACTACAACCCACAAATGCGTGAAAACCGGAGGGAAGAATGCGGGTCTCAAGAATGTTGGTCCACCCCAAGAAAGCCTCCTCCGAATGTAGAGCTTCAAAGGAGAATCTTCCTGGAGACAGTCTCTTCGCTTTCCTCAGGTTGGGGCTGAGGTGGCACTGACTCGATTCCCCCTGTTTCTCTGTTCGGCGAGATAACAGATGTGTTAAATGTCCCATTCATCTCTTTAGTGTGGCTGAACCTCCCCAAAGAGAAGTGTGCAGCCCCCGTCAGGCCGCCCTGATCCTATTAACCATGAACTAACTGTCACCTTCAGCTGGTTTTCCTTTTTGCTTTTTAACACAAAGCTTTCTCAAAAATCTTATTAACCAGCTTTATTTCTCTCGATGGTTTTGTTCGGGGTGTTTTGTGTTGATGATCTCCATGTCGCTGCTTTAACCATTCAATAAAAGTGCATCTGCGATTTATATCACATTAAACCAGAAACGGAGCCCGCTAAAACTCTCCCTTGATTCAAATTAAAAAGTTATTTGGGGCCCGGCTCCAGAGGCGAATTAATGCTAGAAGATGACGTAAGTGCGGAGTTTCTGAGCCCAAGATTGCTCTTGGTTATCAGCAGCGAGAGAAAACCAATCAGGAAAGAAACAACTTTTAAATAAGGGGCTATTTAAATATGGGAAGTTCCTTGCCTGAGTTAATTGGAGCCCCCTGGATAGAAGAGGGAGATCTGTGAAGAATGTCAAAAGTTCCTCTTTTTGAAGTTTGCAATAAAATAGGGGGAAAAAGTATGAACTATCTGAACACCTGCACTTTAACTTTGTCACGTGACAGCTTCCCACTGTCCCATCCTCTCCCTTCGTTTTTTCCTCAGGCCCACCTCCCTCCTTCTCCCACTCCCTTTCCTTCTGCCCCCCACCCCTTTTTCTCCCCTCGTCCGAAGGACTTGGGCAATTGCCAGTTCCCAGAAGGATGCGCCGGAGGCTTCAGAGTGTTTGATTCCCTACCGGTGAAGCGCTTGTCCAAATCTTCTGGATGATCAGAATAGAGTCTCTATTTGCCAAAATAAACTTGAATTTTTTTTCTTTTCTTTCTTTCTTTCTTTCTTTCTTTCTTTCTTTTTTTTTTTTTTTTTTTTTTTTTTTTGAGTGGGGAATGGTAAGAAGTTGAAGCCAGGGTGAGCCCTTCCCAGCGCCTCCTTCCGTGTTGGGGCATTTGCCCGGGTGTAGTTTTCACCGTTTCCTGCCCGTTGACAGGCTTCCTGCCACCCCGTAACCCCTGCCCCAGGCCCTCGCCATTCTGCCTTACTATAGACTAACTGCTACTAACTTCTCGGCTTTTAAAAGTCTGCCCTTCCATTTTTTGGAGGGTGGATCAACCCCTTGCTGCGATCCACGTGGACCCGGCTTCCTGGGGTCGGTCTCCAAGGCCTCTAAAGAATTCCTAAAGCGCCAAAGAGGAAAAGTGAGGGCGGGGGTGAGGGGGCGAGGGCTGGTCGCCAGTGAAAAGGCAAAATAAATCCTAAGGAAGCAAGAAATCTGACGAATGGATCTTACTTTAAGTGATCTTCTTGAACGCGTCTTTTCAAACTCCGCGATAGCCTAAGGGGCTGCGCGGCGCCGCTGCTGCGACTAAGACCTGTGACTAATGCCATTTGACCTGAGCCCATGGGGTTTTGTGCGTCCTGCCATTCATTGTTACGTCGTTATCTTCAAGTTTATTTCGGAGAAATCACTTGCGCTCTTTGTCTCAAGGCTGAGCTTTCTATTTCTTTTTCAAGAGAAAAGAAGATGAGAGGGGGAAACAGAATCCGAGGCCGGGGTTTGGGGTTTAAGGTCCTTGCGTATGCCACAGGCGCGACTGCTCGATGGGGGAGGCAGCAGCAGCAGATCCGGCTGGGGCTCCCCGGGCCTAGGTAGCCAGAGCTGCCGAAACCTCCCAAGGACAGTAGAACAAGCGTGTCCGAACGCACTTTGGGGGTTTCTTTTCCACAGAGCAGGGGAGAGTGGGCGCGTCTCTGACCCAGGCACCTTGAAGGGGCAGCAGCAGCAACAGAGCGCATGGCCCTCTCCAGTGCGGGCGGTGCCTGGAACGTCTCGATTAAGAGAAGGTCAGCCAGAGAGGTGAAACGGGCACTGCAAAGTAGAGAGTGGCCTAAGGCTTCCCAGCCCTCTGAAAAGATGGCGAATGTCCGTTTAGGAAAGGCTGCGACTCCAAGGTCACCCTTTGCAGGCTTCAGACCCCCGGGCTTCCAGGCTCCCTGCCGGAGCTGCCAACAGAGTGAGAGCGGGTTTTTGAAAGATTGGCCGGATGCCGGGAGGAGACAGGGAAAAGGGCTTGACGCTTGGTTTCTCTAGGCGGGGGGGAAAAAGAGGGAGCTAACCGGGAGGCGAAGGAGGAGGGCTGCGAGGCTGGGGCTGAAAGAGCTTTCCTACCGCCCCAGCCCCTCTTCGCAAGCCTCTCTATTAAGACTGCTCTAAGGGGTTCACCTTCAGAATAGGCCACTAGGAGCTACCGCTGCCCCAGCTCTTTCTAGTGTCTCCCCCCCTCACCCCCATCCCTTTCACACTCACTCCCCTCTTTTTCCTTGAAAATCCTTCTATTGTGCCAATCAAGCAGATGGTTTGCAGGAAATATAGCTTGGCCTCGCTGACCGAAACTAATTTTAACTAGCTTTCCAAGCCCGAAACGTTTGTTTTGCTCTTACAAAATAGCCCCAAAAACAGCTGGCAAGGGTGAATTAAACCCATTAAAGACACATTTATAAGAAATTATATTCACATAGATTGACCGAACCCCCTTGTGCAGTCTAAGAGAGGAGATGAGCGCATTTAAATGAAAATGTCGCAGGACGCTCCCCTCCTTAACGTAGCCTGAAAGTCCCAAAACATTTTACTAAATAGATTAACTTGACTATTGTCTTGCATCACATTTATCAGCTTCATTAAGTGAATAGCTGAACAAATATATTACGCATGCATGAAAAGCTCTTTTTCCAGGAGTCTCATTGTATCCTCAGCCCTGACAGGTGGTTAACTGTGTGTTGTGTTTTTTTGTGGGTTTTTTTTTTTTGGTTGGTGTTTGATTTTTGTTTTTTTTTTTTTTTTATTATTATTTTTTAACCCTAAGAAAGAGGACCTCTAGAGTGGCACAGGGCTGGCAGTGCGGACTTGGAGAAAGTTTACTTTAACTCCCTTCTTGAACCCGCCCCCGACTAGCCCCAGCAATATTAAAAACCATGTTGGGCCAAGGAGATATGAGCCCATTCAAAATAATCAAAATTAAATTTGGTAAGCCCAGCCTTGAGTGCTTTCTGTCTCCATCATTACCTCCCGTCCCCTTGTCTGAGAAATCAATTTCATACTGCTCCTTTTTAAAGCTGAAGATTCCATCCCAGTCTCCTTGAAGATAAATTGCCATTGTTTCTCCTTGCTTAACCAGCTCTTCACAGAGTGCAGGATTAAATATTCTTCTTTTTTAAAATAATAATAATAATAAAGAAAGAGTCTCATTTTGTTGTCCAGGTTGGTCTCCAACTCCTGGCCTCAGGTGATCCTCCAGCATCTAAATACTCTTTTAACTCACAATTGAATCAATTTCACTTTACTGTATGTCTTTAGGGAAAGTCCTTGTCCCCTGGGCCTCAGTGTCCCTATGGGTGAAATGAGGGGTTGCCCTAGACAGCTTTCTAGGGGCCCTTTCAGATCTGATCTCCTGAGTTTTAAAAACTCTCAGCTCTTTTTTGCCTTATGAGGGGGCCCGGCAACTCCCAGCCTCTGAGCCCAGGGTGATGACAGGAAGGACAGCACCTCCAGGTCCTAGGGTGCTCTCTTGATGGAGGGGAAGAAAGTAGGGTACTCTAGAGGCCTAAGGCAAATCTGCCAGCCGGGGAGGACTGCATACACTGGGCTCTTACTCTTGGGGTCTCAGGATACATTGGGGACCGAGAGCAAAAGCCTTGAGGTCACCCCACCCACACATTCCTCCCCACATCCCTCCCTTCAAACAGGCTGCCCTGCCTGCTCCTTCTCTCCAGCTCTTGTCCTACCATGAGGTGAGGTGTGGCCAGACACCAGGTGAAAAGTAGGAGGGGATCCTCCCTGGCTCACTCCCCTTGTCCTGGGCCTCGCTTTTTAGCGGCTTTAGTAACCTGGTGGAGTGACACAGTGAGCCACTTCCCCTCTATGCTCCATCACCTTTTCCTTCTCTTGCCTTTTCTGCCTTCCCCCCATACCAATATGGAGCTATTGGTGTTCTGTCCTGGACTTTTTCTGGTTAAAGAGGCTTGGACAAAGGTGAAATTGGTGCTGGGAGGGAAAGGGTATAGAGTCTTTCTCTGAAAGGGCTGCTTTTGTCCAAGGCAAGAGGGCAGGAGGAGAGAGAGAATATGAAATCTATTCAGTCTTCTCTTTCCCATCCCCAGGGATTCAGGAATGGGGTCTAGATGCCTCTTAACAAGGCTGGTTTTGTGTTCAGGAGGAAGTGGCCCCCAGGAGGGGGGCTTAGGAGTTAGGGGGACCAGTGAGTTGGGCGACAGATCCTGGAGAGATGATTGAAGATAATGTGGCTATCCCCACCCCAGCCCAACTACTTCAAGAACAGAGGACTTTGGGAAGACTTGAATGAGTGTGAAAAGTCTTCAGGGTTTACACCAATCATTCAAAATATCTCCAGAGGCTTCTTGTCATAATCTTGTTTGACATTTAAGAGCCCTCAAGGAAAAAGGATGCTCGCCTATGGACTGAGACTCTCTTTTCTAAACTAAATCAGTATCTTGCTTCATCTTATCCTTTTTCTTTTTTTTAATTGTAAAAACAAAAAAACTGTTGTGTGTGTTTTAAAACATAGAAGTATAGGGAAGTTTAAACTTTCCCTCTGAAGATTCAATTATTTGAGTATGCTGAAATAAACGGATAATCAACAGATCAACAGGAGAAAAAGCATACACATTTAATAATGTGCACAAGTGCATGGGAATCACACGAAGTACAAGACTCAAAGAAGGGCCAGATGGTTGAAATTTAAATATCCTTTTTAGGGGAAAGAGTTTAAAGAAAAAGTAAGTGATGTTTAGGGGAAATTAATGGACTCAAAGAGCAGACAATACCTGGGACAAAGTTTGGGCTCTGGGGGACATGGTCACAAATTATAGAAAAATGACGAGCAGAACTGTACCATGAACAAAGGTTGTCTTATGACATAGATAAGTATCTCAGCTTAAAAAAAAAGTTAGCCTGGTGTGTTGGCACATCCCTGTAATCCCATCACTCTGTGGGGGCTGAGGTGGGCAGATCACTTGAGTCCAGGAGTTCGAGACCAGCCTGGGCAACATATTGAGACTCTTGTCTCTACAAAAAAAATTTTAAAAAAATTCTTTTTAAAGCTATTTTGGAGCAACCTCCAGAAGAATAAAAATAGTTTGTTGGGTGTGGTGATAACTTGCAATCTTTTCTCAAGTGATTAATCTTCCCTGATTGTTTGATGAGATTCTTAGGGAGGGGACTGAAGAGAGTTGTGTGTGTGTGTATTTTTTTAAGAATTTCCCTCAGTCAGATAAGGAAACTTCAGAGCCATCTGCTCCCTGTACTTCAGAAGGAGAAGTGGGAGAGGCTGGAGAAGGTCAGAGAGAAACCTTGTGTCTGAGGCTTATTTCTGAGGACTTTCAGTCTCCTTTGTTCAAAGCATTCAGCATGCCAAAGTGCCATATTTTGGGCTATTGTTTTCTGAGCCCCAAGAGAAGGAAAAAGAATCATTTTTAGAACCAAAACCTGTAAGCTGGAGAAGGAGTATGGGAGAATCATCCTTGCC